GTGTGCGGCACTCTTACTAGCGAAACTCTGGCAGCATGTTTGCGCCACGCTGAGTAAGTTTGTTATAGAAAGTGTAAACTTCTGGTCAGATTCTCAGATAGTGTTGTATTGGTTGGAGAGAGACTCATCCACGTTGTCCACATTCGTGGCAAATAGAGTGGCTGAGATCCAAGAGGCTTCTGAGAATACTGTTTGGCGTCATGTGCCTACAGACTGCAACCCTGCTGACCTAGTTTCTCGTGGGACTGATATAGACGAAATTGTATCGTCACTGTGGTTTAAGGGCCCTAATTTTCTAAAGCTCGGTGAAAATGATTGGCCCAATCTTCACCATGTTGAATTATCGTCAGACGTTAAGGCATCTGAAGATAAAAAGAATGCGACTGTACTTACAGTCATTCGATCAGACCTAGAGTCAAATTGCATATTGGACCTTATGCTGAAACTGTCGTCCTTTCCTAAATTAATTCGGATATTGGCATATGTTTTGCGATTTTGCTACAGGAAAAATCGCAGTGATTCTTTAATTGTGTCAGCTTTAGAACGAAGATTATCGTTTTTTAAGCTGATTGAAGTGCTGCAAGCTGATATATACAGCCGTGAGATCAAGTCTCTACAAAAGTCGGCGCCACTTCCCCCAAGTTTGCAATCTCTTAATCCCTTTATACACGAGTTCGAAGACACTGGGATTAAGTTTCGTTTGGTTCGAGTAGGTGGACGTTTGTTGCATGGTCCAATTCCTTATGACGCAAAATTTCCACTATTACTGCCTAAAGATGCACCAATAGTAGCATTGTATATCCGGCATTTACACCTCAAGCACTATCATGCAGGTGCAAAGGTATTAATTGGGCTTCTTAGGCAACAGATCTGGGTGGTGAATGCTCGTAGTGCTTGCTCAGCAGTTGTACGTAATTGTGTACACTGCTTCCGATACAAGCCCAAGTTGTTAGGGCAAATAATGGGAAATTTGCCAGGTGATCGCCTTCGAGAAGGTCGACCATTTAGGGTTTGTGGGGTCGATTTTTGCGGTCCTTTCCATGTAAGCTACCGCATACGAGGAAGACCGCCCGTTAAAAATTACGTCGCCGTGTTTGTTTGTTTTGCCTCGAAGGCCGTTCACCTCGAGCTGGTAACAGACCTATCGACTGACGCCTTTCTTAATGTTTTTAAAAGGTTCATCGGGAGACGCGGCCTGCCGGAGACGGTTTACAGCGACAACGCGACCAACTTTGTAGGAGCGAGCGGCGTGCTGAAGGAGCTGACGTCGGCGTTCGAGAGGAGCAAAGCCGCCTTGATGGACTTAGCGGCAGAGCGAGGGATCGATTGGCGGTTCATTCCTCCCAGGGCTCCCCACTTCGGAGGACTGTGGGAAGCAGCGGTGAAGGCGGCGAAGGCTCGTCTAGTCAGGGGCGCAGGCAACGCGAACCTGACCAGAGACGACCTGGAAACGCACCTGGTGGACGTGGAGGCAATTCTCAACTCCAGGCCTATGGTGGCAAGCGGCAGCGATCCCAACGATGGAGAGGTGCTCACTCCGGGCCACCTGCTCATCGGACAACCGCTTCTTACTCTGCCGCACGAAGGCGTGCAAGAAGGGTCTTTGAGCAGAGCCGGGTCCGGATTTTTGAAGCGGTGGCGGCAGCTGTCGGAGCTCAAACTGCAGTTTTGGCGCAGGTGGTCCAAGGACTACCTGCTCAGCCTGCAGCAACGGACGCAGTGGGCCAAAGGCGAGGCCAACCTGGACGACGGAGCAGTGGTGCTCGTCCACGACGACAACGCCCCCCCACAGAAGTGGCTCATAGGGCGCGTGGTGGGCGTGATTTCCGGCGAGGACGGCAAGGTGCGGGTGGCCGACGTACGAACCAGGACCGGCACTATTAGGCGACCAGTCCACAAGTTGGCGGTGCTCCCAATGGACTTGAAAGACCGCTAGTCTTTCAATGGGGCCGGAATGTTGGAGCACCATGTATAGTTTTTAAGTCTCTCTGTTGCGCTCTCTATCGCGCCCTTTACTGCGCTCTCTTTGTGCATTACCTTTTTTATGCCGGCCCGCTGACTTGTAGCGGCAGCAGGCAAAATCACTTGCTAAATAATTCTCGCATATTCAACGTCGTTTGTACAATTATCCAAGCCATTAAAAGCCATATTAATAATCGAAGAATACCGCGTCTCATTAATAAATAGTTAAATCTTGTTGTCGTTTCGCTAAAAAGCTAGCGATTTTTCAACAGGCTTCGTTAGAGGCGTTGACTTGACGGCTTTTTTACACTTCCTCACATTTTCCCTATATATGTATTTACTTCCGGTATCTTGAAAGTCTTCTAACTGATCATCCGCATATCTTATTTCGCAAGGAATTTGCTTGTTTTATTTTCTCAAAGAAAAGAGAACATTTACAAAATAAGCCCAAAAATTAGAATTCAAAATAAATTACATATTTTAAAAATAAAATTAGGTATAACTTTTGCAGTCATTCCCTAATCATTAACCATTTCACAGGTTTATTCGTATTAAATAATTTGCCAGAATAAATGTTCATTTTTTAGAGTTTATATACGTATGCATTTATTGTTTAGAAATAAACATCTCGATAAAATAGACATACTCTCATTTTAGCAGTGCATGCACCGCAAATGAGAACAGGTTTGGCAAACAACAAAAAAAGTACCAAAATGTAATGCAAAATAAAACGCATCAAAAAATAAAGCGACAGAAAAGAAAGCCAAACCGGCGCTTGATGTTGAGCATGCGCCTTGAATTGTGCTTAAAATGTTTGTGTACTCTCTTAAAACTCCCATTGCAGCATGCTCTTTGGCAATGCAGCTCAAACTGTGCCAGCACCCGTCTAACTGTACGGAATATTCACCACACCACATGCCGCTCTAAACTTCTTTCTACACGCCTTGTGGCCCTTGATTTGATTTCGTGTGCATGTTTTTCCGGCATCTCATGCGATTTTAAGTGTCAAACTCAACTGAAAGCAAGTCAGGAGGGTGCAAGGACATGGCTGTAAGTGTGTGTGTGTGTGTAGGTCCGTGCATTTGTTTTGAACTTTGTCTTTGTCTTTTGCTGCATTTGCCATTTGCCAGCGTTGACTTTGTCGCCTTGTTTTCTGTTATTGTTTTGCAAGGATGTCACCCAGCCAAAGGACTCAGCATCCACATCAGACATTGGGAGCGACCCCAGCTCAGTGTCAGAGGTGCGCGGCCCATTATGTAAATGTTTACTGTGCAGCAGCAGTAGCAGCAGCAGCACCAGCAGCCGACAACAGCCGAGTAGGGACAGTCAAGACTGAGGCTAGCACTTTTAAGTGGCCATGTCTGTGTCTGTTGCTTGTTTTCCTGCAACGCTTTTTCCATTCGCGTTACCTCTACATGTCCATGTGAATGGTAGGATATACTCGTATGTCTGTGTGCGTATGTGTGCATGTGTGTGTTGTCTCAACTAGCGGAAATTTGTTTGCACTAAAGTGATTTGGGTGAAAATGGAAAATGTATTTGGCTTGTTCGTCGCTTCTGTTGCTTTTCCCCCTCTTGCTCGGCTCGGTCCCGCAGGTGAACAGCAGCCGCATTGCACTGCATAAATGAATTTTAGCAGCAGCAACGACAAAAATTCATAATTAAATTTCATGTGTCATCAAATGCGTCCAAATAGCTTGCAGATAAAAGCTTTTCATTCGAATTGTTCATAGTTTGATGCAACAGGAGAGATGGTAATGGAATTCATATGCATGTTAAGCAAAATTAAACATTTCCACTCAATTTTTGATTTCCGTGCCATTTCTGTTTTTGAAAATGAGGGACAAACAGTACTCGTTTGTGTAAAGAGTAAATATTCCTCGAATTCGTGGTAGGATTTTCTTTAATTAAAGTCGAACTAACAGAAATGTTTGGCGATACTAAAATTTTATTTTTAATAATCCGATTTCCTTTCAATTTTATTCGTAATGAAAAACTGATAAATAAAAATGTTATCTATTACCTGATAAAACTATAATAATAGAAATGTATTAACAACGGGAAAAATAAATTAATTTCAAAAATGATAATATTTCACAGTAGGCTTAATAACTTTAAGAAATATTTCTACATATATTTATAATCCCGTTTTTATGTTTTGTATTAATGTAGGAGACATTAATTCAAATTGTAAAGCAATCTTTAAAATATGTTTTTTTTATTTTAGATTTATTTATTTTAATGTAAATTTTAACCTTATTGAAAATATTATTTTAAGGTTTATTTTTAATATTTGATCTATTTTTTTCAATTTACTATTATTTCTTATACTTTTCATTGAAAAAATGAATTGTATATAAAATTTGTTTTCAATATTTTGATAAATTTTGTTTTAATACTCGTTTGTTTAATTAAGTTAAAACTAAGCTCATTTCTGGCCGATATCTATTCGCATTTTTCCCAAACAAAGCCTTCTTTCTACCTACCCATATTATGCTGGCTATTCAAACACATAAAAATATCAATTTGGAAAACAAAATCAAGTCAAGGTGGCTTTTCTCTTTGGGACCATCAAGTTTGCATATTTTGATTATTAATTAGGAATATCTTGTGTATGTAAGTATGTTACATAGATGATTAAATTCTTGTTTTGGAAACCCGAGCTCACGAGCATTTCCTTTACAGCAGAAGTAATTCCACTACTTCTTCCCCTTTACCCACTTATCGCTTAAATCATCAAACTACTGTTGAGTTGATGGCAATACTCTACACAATCACAATCCCATGTATGTGTGCATGTAGGAAACATTTTCATTTTATTACGCTGCAGGTGGAAGAAGTATTCGTTAGGCAGAAAGCCTCAGAGCACTTAACTTCCTCTCAAGCTCATGTTAAATTGTGCATTGCGCAGTCGTTGATTTGCACTTTAAATCAACTGCAACTGTACTTCATAGCAATATAGTATACTACATATATACTCGTTTATACGTGTACATTCACAGTGAAGAGCATCGTTACGGAAAATAAATATGCGCCTACCTTTTTCCTGCAACTGCTGCCGCTTGATATCGCCTTTGAGGACTTCCGCGGTATGCACCAGCTCATTGAGTTGAGGTTTTTTCATTTTCAGTTCACGCAAAACTTTCTGCAACAGAAGAGAACAGAGCGCAATGAATGGAAAGGAGAAAAGAAATAAAATATAGTATGACAGTGGATGCAGGCAGCCATGCATACTCGTATTCGTAATGTTCAGATGCCCACCTCCTGCTTTTCGATGGCCAAACGCACGCCATCGATATCGTCAACGAGCACACTCTGTATCTTGATCATGTTTTGTTCCCAAGTCAGCCAGTCGGAAATTTGTAGAACGGACTTATCGAAGCTGCCGGCAAGAACTCCAGTGCCGCTCGGTTCGTTGTTATAGTCTGCAAGAAAATAGAAAACATTTCTAAAATGAGGCTGCGGTGCAGGATTTGGGTTAAAAAAAAAATGAAAGCATGCTAATTAGGAATGGCTGCGGCTGTGTCACAATTACGCTTCGCTTTCCACGATGCTGGGACATCATTAGCAGTCCGTCCACATTGCGGTTGGGCTAGTGCGGTCAGCTTGACCAACATTTGCACTTTTGTTGCATACTTTACGGCTTGTCTGCACGCTTGTCCACTTGCTTTCTTGCTTGGCATTGACAAACAATGGTCGCTCACTCATTTCACATGCCATTGGCCGCATAGTAAATGGCTCTACACCATCACTGGGCCACACACACACACATACTCGTGTATATATTTGTAAGCTTCTTTTTTCTCACCACTGTTGTTGGTCGATCATTTTGAAATGGCAGGGCAAGCAAATAATGGAGAGAAAAAGGAAAACTATTTCAATGAACCAAAGTTTCAAGTGGCTTCATTGAGCGACTAAAGTGCGCGTTGGGTGTTGGCAAGAGTGCAGCATGCACTTGGCACAGTGGGCACCAAAACTATTCCCAGAAAATATGCAAACACTTCTGAACTTTCAAGTGTAATCTCTTACGCACAATATGATAGACATTTAGATATAAATCCTTTTTTTCATTAATTCAGCGTTGTTGGGCGTTTCTTGTTACTGTGGTATAATACATAACTTTTTTTTTATTCTCTTGCTTCAAAAATGTAGTATGGCCGCTTAATAACCTTTAAATTGTTATGACAATTTTTCAAAATTATTTATTAATAATCATTGAACTTACTATTTATTAATAGAAAGTGAGGAATTTAACATTTACTATTCAATTTTTTTAAGGATTCCATTCTTTTTTGCAAATATAATATGACCCATGTTAACCGTCGATAGTGTAGCTTCCCAACAGTGAAAGAATCCAATAAATCGGTCCAGTAGATTCGGAGTCTTTTCAATTCAAACAAACAATCAAATCTTTCCTCTTTATAATATTAGTATAGATAAAAATATTTGCAATTTAATTATTTATTTGTGAGTTTTCTTCTACTTTTGAATACCTATAAATACTTTTAATATTTTCTCCATTTTTTTTTATAAATTTTTCCTATAGTAAGCGAATAAATGTGAAATTAATTGGTTTTTATTAAAAAACAATACTGACTCAATTCTCTAACTATTAAGCAGTCAAAGGCCTGCTAATAATAATAATTTGTATAAATAGATTTTTTGTTGGTGTTCAGCTCCACTGTGCTCCATTGGCAGTCGCAACAACTGTCAGTACCGTCAGTTTGTCAGGCCCATTGCCTACTTCAAGGCGAGTGGCACTTCTGAATGCACGTAATAATATTATTACATCTCATAATTTTTTTTGCGTCCGCACTCGTTTTAAATGACAATTTTGGATTGAAAGCCGCGTCCCTAACAGGCACATCCTCTGGCATAGGCACAGTGCACAAAAAATACAAATAGAAGGGAAAAAATGTGCACAAGTATTTGAAAAACTCAAAAGGCAAAGCAGTGAAGGAATATGAAAAGGAAACACTTGAAATACTTGCAAAACTGACGATGGGCAGAAGCGAATTGAAAGAAGAGCTTAAGAAGTAGCAAGTTTTGGCAAGCCTGCCGGCTGGTCTGTTGGGTAGGCGGCGGGTAGGCGTGGCTGTCTAAGTATTGAAATAACGTTGGCTTTGCCGGAAGCAATGAAAGTTTTTTGGGTTTGAGTTAAGCCGTGAAAACAAAACCAAAAACTATTGGACCCCATGTGTTGCCTATGGTTGTTGTTAGTTAAGTTGTGGTTGTTATTCTTGTAGCTCTAGCTTTCGCACACAGCAGGATTAAAGCTGTTTTTACGACAAGGGATTTTGGTGACAAATTCAAGACGTCTTAAGAAGGGGGGAAAAAATGCCAAACCTGTTCGTTTTTTCATTTTTTTTATTTGAGTAGGCTCCTGTCAAAGTATGCGGGCATGTCTACGAGTAGGTTGACTGAAAGCATTTAGAATGAATGAATGAATGAATGGAATCTAACACATACACACCCACACACACACACCCCCCCACACACACACCCGCACAACAGACGCTGTTAGGCAAATATATAGAAAAAGAGAAGAACGAATGCGCGTAACAAGCCACAAACAAACAAACACACTCTCATGTGCTCATATATACAATACAGACTGAAGTAGCAGAAGAGGAAAAACACGTTAAGTGTAAAATTTTCTTTTCACTCATTTTGACGTATACAAGACACACACACACACACACACATCAACACCCTTCAACGTCTGCTCGGCGTCTTGGCAGGTGCAAAATGGTTGAAAATCAAAATATACGCTCCTATGTGTATGAAACATGTTTAAACAAATTGAAAAAGGAAACTTTTGGCCGCCCTGATAACGTAGTCATCACATTTAGAAAAGAAAAAAAAAACATGTCATAATTCATTAAAAGCCAAGGAAAGCGTGAAATTTTCCCCTTGTCGTCTTGCTGCTCAACGTCAGTCAACGCCTCTGTGTGTCACACCAGAGGGACAAGCGTGCGTGCGTTCTGGAGACGAACAGTACTTTTAGGCATTGCCTACAAAAAAAGGAAGAAGGACAGACAGCCCGGCGATGAAAAACATCCAATCAGAAGCGTTAAATAATTTATTTTGTCTAGCGCTTTTTCCCGCATTTTGCCTGCGTTTTAAAACGCGTCTAATTTATGGTGTGTCCCTGACCTTCGCCAATTTTCGTATCACTTTCTGCACAATTTTCGTTTTCATGCTTTGTTTGGCACTCACTTCAGACGATGCTACTTATTATGCCTTTAAGAGCTGAATAGCTTGTCCCAATCGTCATTTTGTTACTTTTTATACAAATTGGTTAATCATTTAATAAATAAGTGTAATTCCAAGCTGAAACAATTTGCTCGCTGCTCACATCTTATGAGGAACTCGTTTTAAGGTGAGAAAAAGAAGTACTGAGGTTTTTGTTTTTAATAACACATTTCTGTATTAATTAATTAATTATTCAATTCATTTCGTTAACAAATTTAAATTTTATACATTATTATTATTTATTATTTTTAGTTGCTTATAATTTAATTTATTTTGTATTGCATTTTTCACCATTCATTTTTCACATTAATAATAATTCATATAAATTTTTTATGTTTTTCGTTTGAAAACACATTTTTAGTTTCGAAAATTTTTGAAATTTTATTTTAAGCATTAGTTTATTTGTCAAGATTTCTTTTTATTTGTCCATTAAGGTTTATGATTTTATGTTTAATTAACACTTTCATTCATTTCTCATTTGTCAACATTTATTTATGAAACCATTGGAAATAAATTTGTATGCTTGTTATGACTTTTATGATTTGATCTCTTTGAAGCGCAGGATTATTAATAATAGCGTACATTTCTAAAGAGGTTAATTCACATATTTTTAAAAAATTTTCCACATTTTTTAAAATCAGTTTTAATTAGATTTTATTTTCTTTTCAAAAATATTTTCATTAATTTCTGACTTCAAGTCCTTTCAACTTATTTTTTAGTTAATACTTGACCGTTGACTCTTTTCGCCCTTACTGTTTACTTCCTTTCCGCTGAACGTTTTGTTTTGAAATGTTTTCCGCTTCGTGTCGGTGCCTGTCTCTGTTTTGTGGCACAGCTGTTCGCAGTTCACAGTTAAGGAGAGAAGCTCTTGCTCGACTTATCATTGACAACCAAATGTAGAAAAGCTAAGGACGAAAGCTCAATGCCAAACTAAAGCTCTCAAACGCGAAGCTGTTTATCTATGTTGTCCTTACATTTAAATTTAGGCAATTGTTTGAAATTATAACTAAAGGAAAAATACATTATTTTTGATAATTACTTTAAACAACATCTATCCTTTACTACACACATAATTTTTTATATCAAGAAAAGCTTTCAAATGGGGTCATGTGTTAGTGCTATCACCACCTAACGGTAAAGTACAGCTATTTCACCACACGGTGAGTTCTCGTCAGCTAACATTATTTTTGATCTAGTATAGTCGTCTAGGAGTTGTCAAGGAACTGTCTAGAAAACATAGAATATAATATTTTTGTTTTCAACATTCAAACACAAGTTGTAGTACACCCGCACAGTATACCAAATACATCTTACAGTTCCGTCAACATGTTGAAGCTGCCAAAGAGATCAGCACTTAAACAGAAAAAGGAGAAGGAAAACATTCGCAAAGCCTTCGCAAAAGAGATTAGCTTTGAATCCCCAGCTGATATAAATATATCGCTCCGGGATTATGGCTTCATGCGTGTTACTTCAGATAAACGTGCCACACCCTATCCTCGTGTCGAAGTGGGCATTGATCCCAAATTGCTGAAGGCACGACTTCAGGTGGAAAACATGCGGGTTACTTCGAAACACAAAGTTGACATTACACCAACTTCGGATTCCAAAGCCCGAATGGTGGCCATAGGTGCTCTATCACCAAAACGAAATGACTATTTTATTGGAACGCCGCATCCCTCAAAGAGTGTGGCTGTAGATCCGCGCCGCCTTATCAAAAAGCTGAGCCACATAACAACAGATTATATTGATTCCGATAACCCCCCATCACCGACAATCACCTTTAATACAGAAGCTGACTTTGCAAAGGTCTTGGAGAAACGAAAGCAGAGAACTCCAAAAGGTCTTTTAACACCAACACCAAGCTTGGTGAGGCGCGTTTGTGTCAGCCAAATTGTGGAAGATATGGATGACATGATTGGGAAACCAGGTTCACTCTTTCCACAACAATCCAATATTACATCAGAAAGTGTACATTTGTTTGGTATGCGCGACGAGGACCAAGACAGCAATCAGGATTTCTACGAGCGTCGTCGCCTATTTTATGAGGCCGAATACACAATAGCAAAATTTGGTAAGAAGATGAGCGATTACGTTATGGCCCCGCCCAAACAATCCCTTGAATTCGAGGAGACACAAGGTTGGCTAAATAATGCTCAGAAGGCCAAGACCGAAATTGAGATATATATGCAAAAGATGGGGCTTAAGCGAACCGAAAATAACAACCTGGCAAATATACGCTCTATATTGCGAAATCAAAGTGATAATGAAGATGAAGATGATGTTCCAGATGAATGAAAACATCACCAGAAAATTATAATTCAATAAATATTTTAGCAAAGAATTGCAAGCGCGATCCAAAAACCAAAGTAATAGTCCAGAAGACGCCATTTTTGAAGGAGCAACATTTTTGAAGGAAAAATAATAAAAAAAAAAAATGTTTGGTATAGAGTAAATAGAATAAATAAAAAAAATGTAAAAATTATTTTAAATAAAGTATATGTAAATACAAATTTAAATTATTCAATGCCAATAAAACTGCCATCAATTTAATAATAAATTTAAATTTTTCATTAACTAATTTAGCATTGCCTCGCAGCAAAATTGCTATTTTTTTTAATTGGGCAGTGGTAAGTAAATTTAACCCGCAAATGAGTATAATTTAAAACAGCTGTCAAAGTTTTACCCTAAATCTTACATAGAAAAGCGCTAGGAAAAAAGTTTGGCATTTATAAAAAAAATATATATAAAACTTGAGAATTAATATAAATGTTTATTGTTGTACTCTAAGGACCCTTTTGTGGATGGAGTGGTTTCTATTTCCCTCACTTTCGGGTCAAATTGTCAAAAAATATCGCATTAGTAGGAAACTTTAGGGAACATTTAATTTAGTGAATGAGCAGTATATTATTTCTTACTTTAGGTGACGACCAATGTAGTATTTCTTTGCCAGTTTGACTCCAAGTGAGAAATAACTCTCTTGCCTGTTGTAAGAGCTTTACCTAAAACTTTGTGAAGCTATTGGAGGGAACTCTAGGTGAAGAAACTAAAGTACGAGCCAATTTATATACTAGAAGATACACAGATACAATATTATTAATTGCATGAATAAGCTTTGTTAAAGAAATAATAATAATTAGCGCTAATTTAATTAGCGTTTAAAAAATAGGGCTTTGAGGCGTCCTGTTTCTGCAATCAATTTATTTTTAATGACATATTTTTGTGACAGAAAAAATATATCTTGAAAATAGTTTATATGTATTTCTTTATGTTTAAATGTGAATGCGCAATATGGCACCAGATAGATAAATCGTTATATATATACAAGACTATTTTTGGATACAAATTAAAATTTATAGAGTCCCATATACTATATATTTACCATGAATGGCATAGATGTATGTGTGTGTGAGAAAAATGCGAAACCACTTCATGAGAAAAGACTTTTCAATAAGAAAAACGTAAGCCTTTACCCACACACAGGCTAATAACTCATTCTGAAACAAAACTAATATCAATTTTTAATGCTTGTGTAAGTTTTGAAATTCTTTGATTTCGATAACAACAAAAACAGCAACAACAAAAAAAAATACCACTCAAAGAAAGTCAACACCTAAAGCGTGCACACAAAATGTCAAAAGTGCCATTGACATTCCGCATTTGGTTGACGCCAAACTGTTCGGTCTGTTGTTGCCCCTCTCGAAAGTGCAGATACAAATACACACACAGAATTTGTAGTTGAAATATAAACAACAACCGGAGAGGGTGAAATCGAAATTGTAGCAATAAAAACAGGAAAAAATGCAACTGCAACCAAACCCACCAACCGTTTCAAAATACACGCAATAAAATGCAACAAAGTGCTGCCGGCTGCCTGTTAAGAGCAATGAAAATAAACTTTTCCAAAACAAAGCACAACAACAAATATGCTGGAAAAATACAAATTGAAAACAAAATTGAGAGATTGGTGCGTGCACTTTTCAAAGTTTTCAGCCAAGGAGCAGAAATCAATTTGAAAATTACATTTGATTTTATCGGAAAATATTTTTACCGTTGCCCGCCATCGATGCATAAAGATGTTTTTGCAAACACTTTTAAAATTCATTGCATGCCTAAAATTTGCATGCAATTTCCAAAAGGCATAAACGAATTTATTTCCATGCACATTTATCCCTTTGTTCTTTTTCCCTCTTACAGTTTTTCTGCATAAAAACTTTAATTAATCATTGATAGCAACATTCGATCGTAATTCAAATAAAAATAGTACTGACGACGCAATTTGATTTGAACTTCTCCTAACGTTTTAGAGATATTTCTTTTATTTATTTATACAAAAAATTTTAATTAATAATTGAAATCGACATTCGAACGTAATAAAATAAAAATAATACAATCCAATTTTTTTCAAATGTTTGAAAATGCATATAAAAAGGACACACGACTGACTAAAGAGTTACATGGAAGGCAGCGCCGAACAGCAAATATGTAGGTACAGGCGCTTCAGAATATAGCCTTATGGCTCATTATTGACTGCGAGTTTATAGTTCTTTGTGGAGCTCCAAGCAAGCTTCCACACTAGCAGGTATAGCTAGTCCTCAAAAATGAATTCACTAGACTGCTATCAGAAACCCACCTGAATAGTATAGTCCAAATCGTAAACATTCGGAGGGTACACCTTGATCAGAAGAATACAGATGCTGCTGCTTACACATTTTAGGATCATTACCTATTTCGGGGCCGGGCAACAGGAATCCCACAATATGTGCGTGTTCCTGAATATATGTCTCGAGTTCTGAGTTCTGTAAGAGTTCTTCCATTCCGTAAGAGTGGTCTTATATATACAAATGTCAAGCTACCGTGATATGGCGAAATATGCATGCCGATTCGCAACATAATAATACAAACTAAAAAATAAATTATCTATTTCATTGCTGGCTTTGAGTAAATCCAATAAAAGCATATGCTTTATTGTCTAATTTCATCGAGACATAGAAAATTTGCGGCCAATTCGTTGTCGCTTGATAAGGTAGATAACAAAATGCATTTAGCGACAAACTATCATGCACTTTTCGAACAACTAAGCTAAACGGAATTGCACTTAACACATTAGAAAGTTTTTTCACTTGACATATAGAAACAACAGGGGAAAGGAGAAGAAAAACTTACCCTTGCTGCCGCTACCATTGCCAATTTTCGCGCCATTTTTCAATTCGGTCAAAGAAAGCTCTATTGAATCCGCATGAGCAATCAAATTGTTTTTAGTCTGCAATAAATTCGACAAGAAAAAAATGTTAGGTGGTGGTGCCATGTACTTGTAGTGCCACTTGAATGGCACTCGCATCTAAACCGATAGTACGAACCTTTTCAATTTCATTCATCATGACGGGCGTCACCTTTGGCATTTGGGCGTTTTTGCCAATGGCGCTGACAATTACCTGCAAATCGTCGCGGCGTTCCTGCAAAGAGCATAAGAATCAGTTGGACAAACGGTGATATTTAAGTTTTTAAATTTAAGGTGAACAGCACACGTACTGTGATGAAAAATTAACGACGATATGTATGCCGGCCGTATTGGGACACAGTGTGTGCAAGCGGAAGCGGAAACTGCAGAAACACAAATGGACACACGCACACCCACACACACACACACACACACAAAGAAAATGGCAGTGGAGCTCTGAAGCAGTGCAGAGAAATGCAGAAAAATTGAATTCAATTTCAACTGCAATCGAGCACAAATTTTTCGCAACAACCCCCTCCGCTTGCTTCGAATTTCTCTTGGGAATTCGCTTCAAGCACTAAAGTGGGCGTATCGATGGCGGTTTGGGGCGGGAACGGAGGCGGAGGCGTGGACGGTATTGTGCTCGTTGTTGACACTCTCTACCGACGCACTCACAGCTTGTGTCAACCAACAAAATTGCATTTATGATGCAACGTTTTACGCAAAATATTTTGGCGCCAAGTGAATTTTCCGCGCGTAAAACAATGAGCGCATAAAAAGGGCGAGAAATTCCGGAAAATATAGCGGGAGGGTCCTCGGAAAAATAAACACGCGCGTTGTTTTGCCAACCGTTGCGTATTTAAGACGCTCTACGACTGAAAACAATATAGTGCCGCCGGCTAAGAGCGACCAAAAAAGATCTGTTATGCTTTAAGTTTACCTCGCTCTTAAATTTTTCATCAGGAAAAATTACTGCCCCTCTTTCACATTGGAAGTGGTCTATCTCTTTGTTTTAGAAAATGCTTCAGCATCCATCTATTTTTAGCATTTCCCCCACTTCTGTGTTTAATTTCGTGAAAGATATTTGTCGCCCATTTTCCGTTGTGCGTAAAAAAACTAACAAAAAAATAAACAAAAAGACAACGGCAGCTACAACAAACAAATGATCGCAATGATTAATGGCTGCGTTGCTCGGTGGGAGTGACGATAGCCAGGCGTTGGGGCTAAACTTGGGTTTATCGAACTATACATGTTTAAGGCGAACCGCACCGTGGCATACAAAATATCAAGAAACTAACCAACATTTATTTAATGTGTACATTTTCGTTATTTCATTTGGGAACTAGGATATTGCAATTTATATAGATTTTAAAATCATTCTGATTATCAAGAAATATATTAATTAAATGAAGAGCTCATATAGAAGGATATAACAGCTCCTTACATAATTTAAAAGTAAAAAAAAATGATTTTCGATATTGAATTCATTTTTTAAAGCTACAAGTATTTTTATCAGACAGGCTGTAATTCCGCTTTCAATTTAGCTTACAGTTCTAATTATAGGTGTTCTTAAGGTGCTAATCTGAATGCACGGCTTGAATGCTTTGATTAAACAGAAAAAAAGTTGTTCTTAAAATTCCACCTTCATCTGTCGTTCCTCCTAGTCTTCTACATATGGGTTTTCTTATACCATTAGTTGAATTAAAGTGTTACTTATTATTACTTATTAAAATTACCTACTTCAATTAGTCCATATACCCGTTACATTTTTAATAATTGACTCATCTTCTGTTACATTATTAAAACAGCTTCTTCTTGGGCCTTCTTCATTTCTGGCATTAAAGAAATATTTTAATCATGGAAACACTTTTTGCATCGTAAAACTACTTTCATATCGTATTTTGAAAAATCACAATTAGAATCGAGAGTCTGTACTAAGCAACTACTTGAAATGATTGTCGATGTTGAAATGAAATGAAAATATTTTGCAGAAAACTGTTTCAGTTTGCAGCACCAATAAAATAACTTGGTAATTTGTTTTTATTCTATGGTCTTTCAGTGTCAACTGTGTGCATGTATGAACTTAAAGATTTCGGACAATATACACACAAGAGCTAGCAAACTTACTAGTCATGTTCTTTGAAGCCTGTTGAATAAGCAGTTTGTTTGATTTTTCTATAAACTTTTGGTCAAAAGAAAACAAGATCAACAAAAGGTAAATGCTATTTGACTTAATGTTGTCGGTTCACTTTTACATTTTAAATTTATTTAAATTAAATGAGAAGTATGGCACACCACTATTTGTCGAATGCTTTATTTTTATGACAAGCTCTTGTTGCTGTTTCATCAATTTATTATTTTTCTTTTGTGCTTTATATATAAACTCATTAACTTTTCTGTAGAATTTGTGCATCTGTCATATTTCTGGGGCTGAATTTTTTATAATTTGACATGACATTGTGTGGTAAACATTAAACAAAATACTTCATCACACGGTGCCAACGACAAGCCTCATTCAATTGATAGATCTCTGTGTTCAGAGCACTACCCATGCCACGTCACTGGCCTCCTTCTGCCAAAGCAAAGCAACAATTACAGACATCTCTTCATTCATGCTCTTGTGGGATGCCAATCTGCTCTTCTGACCCACATAGCTTTAGAAAGAAATGCAACACAAATATGTACGTACTCCCCCTTCTGTTCCTCTCGCTAACTACACACAGATGTTGGCACGGCACACGACACATCCACGACATGGGCGTGCGTGTAACTATGTCAAAAATTTTATTTTGGGCTTTTTAATGGCAGCATTTAGTTTCTAGCTTCTAGCGGTCTGCCTTAAAATTCTCGAGAGGGCAATTAACTTGTCGGCGCAACAACAGAAGGAACAAAATGAGCGAACGAACCGTGTGGAGAGCACGATGTGCACGTCACTCGGTTGGACGCCGTCAAAGATTTCTAAATTAGTGCGCAAAAAAGCTTAAAGAAAAATATCAGTTTTGAGTTATGGGTCCGATTATAGCAAAAAATTATTTAACTGCGGTTGGCTATAGGCAATTAGTTTCTGATTTCTGGCCAGATGTTCGCTTGCTGTTGTTGTTTTATTTAAATTTTTCTGTTCTCATTGGCTCGCTGCCATATCCACTCACATTGATATCCTCCATGCGTTTTTCAAGTTCGCTGCTGGACTTCACATCCACAGGCTTGTCGATCAGGACATTGATGCGACGCAGACCCTTTGTGACCAGCTCCTCGATATTAATGCTGTCCAGAGTGGCGCGTGTAAAGGCTGTTGGCGTACCCGAAGTTTTTGACCTGTCAAGAGAAGAATGTGTTGATGAAGCTGAAATTTTGAAAGCTTATATTTAAATCACCTGGCCTGTTGCACCTTGAGGAATCCTTCGCGCAACTTTGCTTGCGCACTCATAACCAAATGCGATAGGTTGCCCGGCTTGCCATGAGTCTCCAGAACCAGCGAGTCACCCTGTGATATGAGAGTGGCCGCGTCGGGCGCTATCAACAGTCTCAGATCCTCGCTTCAATAGATATTAAATATTTGCAACTTGTTTATTATTGGTTTCAAGCAATTTTGATTGAAAAAACTTTATAAAGCGGAGGGAGTTAATTTAATTAAGGACTCTCATAACAATCTTTAAAATTCGCAGTCTTTTCGAGGATTGTAAATGCTCCAAATGTTTAACAAATTATTTGGGAAACGAATTCCTTGCTGTTCTCAAGCCAGTTATACGAATGCCTTCAAAAGTTAGGTCCCCGAACTAAACAGATTAAAATATATTGTCAAATTTTGCCCCAAATTTAAATTTTTCATTGAAATTAATTTGAACTCAATAGCATTAACTTAATAAAAAAAAAAAAAAACAAATTAACAACCTATCGAAAAATTGCTTGTTGATCATTTTACAACTAGACTCTGTCTAGTAAATAATTGTTATCGATTCAACAATCATTCCGAAAAAATCATGATTGTGTATTAAAACTAGAAAACCAAAACTGGAATATCTCTGGGAGATTTGAAGTAGTTTATTAGTTGTTCACTTTTACTTACGCTTCGCTCTCATGGCATTGTTCAATCTTAGCCTTGGTCATCTCCAATTTATATATCATCTGCTTAGCTAGCTTATCGAATTCCCTCACGCACCTCTCCAAAGGGGTTATCTGTTCACTCAGTCCGATGCAATGCGTCAGATTAGAATCGTCCGTTGGTGAGGGCATCGAGCTTAATACTTTGTTCGCAAATGAGTTGGGCTTCTTAATCGTTGGTGTTTCAATTCGACTCTGTATGTGATTAATAAAATTAGAGGAAAATTGTATTTTGATTACCCATACTGCATCTTTATAGACCGAGAAAGTGCAACAAAATTACCACATCACTATCGGATTCAAAGGTTGGTGTCATTTCCAAGGAGAAACGCGGTATTTCCTCATCGTCGGAGAATACCAGCGGTTCGATATCGAAACCTGCCTCCTTGTCGGCACTATAGAAACTATTTCGACCCGGCGATTCCGGTTCCGTGTCAGGTGTGGTGGCGTCCAAAGACGGCTGCAACTGGCGCCAACGCTTCGCTTTGGGCCTCTGCTCCGTAGCTGCTGCATCTGGCTGAGAGCTTTCCTCCTCGGAATCACGCAAAATATCGCGTTCATTTGCTATGCGTTTGCGTTTCTCATCAAAGGAGATTCGTTGCTTTTCCACACGTAGAAAGGGAGTGCTTGTATTTTCCGCGGATGGACGCAGCATAGCCTCCTCATCCGGTTCGTCCACATCATTTGACTTTGTCAGTGGAGACTCAGCCAACGAATTTTTACTTTTAGTTCGTCGTACTTCACGACCCTCGGCATCGACCCGCATGGAAGAGTCGGACTGTGAGTCTTCTGAGAGATCTACTATCTGGACAGTCTCCACATATTCGGGTACAAATGGTTCGACACTCTCCAAAATGTTGACAGTGTCTACAATTTCGCCCACTTGCGGCTCAAATGCAATGTTCTGAACAGACATTTTATCATTTTGTATGTTTTTCACTTTAATTTCTACGACCTGGGCCGCATCTGCCTTGCGCTTGTTCTTTGCTGGCTTAGGAGGCGGCATTGCGGAGATTTTTGACTGTGCGCCTGGTGGTTGGAGAGATATTTGAGAGAAGAGCGTACTAGACTCGGCCAAGCGAAAAGTTTGCGGTGGCAGCAAATCTGGAAGCACATGTGGCTGGGAGTTTGCATTCGAATCTTCGGATTTACTCTCCACTGATGCTTTTGGCGACTCTACGGTCGCACTTGTGTTTGCCGAACTGGTTTCTCCCGATTGTGGCGTGCGTGCACGGCGCTGCCGAACTGTGTCACTAACTACAACGATTTCTGTATCATCTTCCGGCGTTGTAGACTTTTGTGTAGAGTTATTGTTTGGTGCATTGAGTACGGACTGTTCATTGAAACGCGTTTTTAGTGTATCCTGTGCAATAAATGCATAGTTTTTGGTCAATTACAAAACTCTACAATACTCTTAAAATTAATTTTGAAAAGCACAGGAAGACTTATATGCGCCCAATGAAAAGGTAAAAGTAATATTTTTAAGTCTAGCTCAAACTCTCCACAACAACAGGGGGGTTTTGTGAGCATTGTGGGAATGTGTTGAATTATTTGATTTAATTTTTAATTGGTAGTATTGACTATGTGTAGACTTTCACAGTTGTCGCAGCCGCAACCAATACAACGCCATTTGTTTATACAGGAACGCAAAAACTCTACACAATTAAATTGAAGCGTGAAAATGACACCAACTTAAGCCCCTTTGAACTAGTGATACGGTGATTTTGTGGTTGTGGGTGATGTTTGATGGTATTGGTATTGGATTCTTTTTACGAGTATATATATTTTGTATTTATATTGGTGGTTTATTAGCTTGGTGGAGAGATTAATTAAGTATGTAATATTTTTATGGGTAGCGGCATGATATTGCAAATAAAACATATATATAAAGTAGTATAAAGAATATTGTAAAAATGAACTTATTTTCAGTTAGATATAATTAAGTAGAGCACCGTTGTTAGCATTTTAAGGAATGTGTTAAGGAATTCCATATGGCTGTAATACATACTTAGTTAGTTACTTTAAAAGTAAATAAGTCTTAAATTAACATCGTTACTTTCACACTTAAAAACAGAGGTTGTTAAAATTGCCACAAACCAAACAAAATCGTATAAAGCTTTTAAAGAAGGACAACCAAAAGCAACAGGAAAATTCGATTCCATTTCATGGCGAATATGTGCATGTGAAAATGTATTTGCAAAATGAAAGAGCAAAAGGTGTTAAGATGAGGAAAAAACCACAAGGCATGCACTGTAAATGGAAGCAACGTGGAGGCAGCAGAAAAGTAAAAGTATGATGTTGAGTGAAATGCAAATAAACAGAAGCTCAAAGGAAGGAACGTAAAAGGACATGATAAGGCAAATAATTTGATGGAAACTAAATGATAGACCCGCAGAGCAGGCAGACATCAGAGACAGACAGACAGGCAGTAAGGACGGCAAAGGAGACAAATCGATAAGTAAACATTTTTGTACAACAACTTAAAAGTACTTTAATAACATTTTCAAAACATATATACAATATATACATACGAGAACATAGAATGGCATAAGCTTGTTTTGTACTCACCACAACAATTGCAATGACTTGTTGCTGCAATTTTTCAATTTCCGGATTTGATGGCACATTAATCTGCTTCAGGTCATGCTCCATTGTCCTGCAATAAGAGACAACAAAGATAAAATGCAATCCGCTGGTCAATAAAGAAAATGGCACAAACTTTAAGGTATCCAGCGAAATGTTATCCAAATTTTGTAGAGTCGCTTTCATCTCCGTTAGCCGTTTAATAATATCAGCACTGGTTAATCGATGGTAGGTGGCTTTGAGGCCATCGATGCGCTGGCGTGTGTCCACCATGCATCCTTCATCACAGGACTTGCTGTATTCCGCATAATACTCCTCACAGCGTTGCAGAACATCCTCAAATTCTAGCAATATGGAGTTGCGATCGTGCATCTCTTGCGGCGACTCGAACCGACGTATTAGAGTATCCGCGGCTTCAAAGCAATCCTCCAACTGACCGGCCAATGTTAGCAGACCCTCCAGGAATGCCTTCGATTGGGTGACATTCTCGCCAAGCGCATTATAGAGATGCTTCAAAGCGTCGATGCGCTGACTCAGCTGCTTCGGTGATCTGGTATACTTGTCTTCACAGACCTTACGGCCTGTCTTAATGGTGCTCTCAATCTCTGCTTTTATTTCCGATAGTGTTCGGTAGATTTGCTGTAAATGGCAAAATATTTAAAATAAGTTATGAGGAATAATTTATAAAAGGATGAGTTCTTACCAGACACTTTTGATATTGTGCCTTGACTGTGCTGGGACCCGCGGATGCTACATCCAGCACCAAGGTTGAACGTTCCACATTACGCAAATCGGCATGGGCGCGATTCAAACGCGACTCGTATGCGGGTTGAGGGGCAGTGCACTTGTTAAGTTTCGCTTGGCAGGCCTTAAAACGTAACTCCATAAGATTGAGCTGTTCCTGCAGGCGGTTTGCCGCTTCGATTTTGCCATTACGCGTATGCTCGGCGATTAATTCCGGTATTTCTTTAAAGTTTTGTTCGTTGCTGGTAAATTCTTGAGCCAAGCGCTATAAATAATTTATTGGAGAGATTAGTCAGCAAGCTGTTGTAAGTGGAGAGTTTAGACTTACTTGAAAATCATCGGGTAGATCCTCAATAGTCACATCATTTTCCAGATGTTCGCTGAGTATCTCATCCACACGCGTCAACCAGGCCTCGAACTGTACAATGCACTTTTCCGACTGCTCTGCTTCGCTCACTTCTTGCTCCAGCAGTTCGGTGCGCTTTTTGGCCTGTTGCTGCAATTGTGTCCAGCGCGAGACAATGTTATCTATATCGGCACGCATCTCCTTCTCCATAAATTCATTGTCAATTAGCTCATTGCCAATCTCTTGAATTTTGTCGAGCCATTCGTCAGAATGCGCACGCAACACGTTCTCTAGGTCCTGGCAGATAGAAAATACATTATTTAGCTTTGTATTAATAAGTAACTTTTTGATTACTTACGTCCAGCTCCTCAATAATTTCCTCTGCATCGGCCGCGTTCTCTGGCGTATTTCGTATCTTATTCTCCAAACGATCTAAATATCCAGTCTCGCTGACCATAAACTTCTTAAACTCGCCCAGCTGTGTGGATATATGCTCCAACAATGCTGTCTTGCCATAGATGAGCTCTGTAACCGCTGTCCAACGCGCATTGAGGCGCGTAAACTGCTTCGCCAGCGTCGCATATTTTCCATCCTTGGCTTGTTGCTGTTGCAGTTCATCCATTTGGAGTAACAGTTCACCTCCAAGTTCGTTCAGTTCGCGGAAATTGGCAGTTTCACGTTCACAGGTCTCTTTAAGGGTCTGGAATTTACTTTTACTATGGAAGAGCTCATTCGAGCTGTTTATATCGGATATTTTCGTCTTGGGCGTATTCGTTTCTAGTTCGTTTAGCCAATCCTCGGTTTGCTGCAATCTCTCCACAATTGCTTGGGCTTGGGCTTCCAGTGCCGTGTGTTGCTGTTGTTGAGCTCGATGTAGGGTCACAACCTGCTCGTAAAGTGTGTTCAGTGCACGTATTTGGGACTGTAGGGCTTCTCGTTGTGGCACCTCTGCATCTTTTATCAGTATTTCACTGAAATTTCTCGCACTAATCACATCAATCTCTAGTTTGCGGAGATCGTTTGCTTTCAGGGTAGCGGCATTGTTATCCTCTGATGCGGCGGTTCGTAGTACAGCAATAATTGCATTATATTCGGAAGCAAAATGATTCAGATTTTCAATGGCGGTAGTCTGTTTTAAAATGCGTTCGCTTAGTTGTTCGGGTAGTCGCTGCCAACTGGCCACGAGTTCGGTGCTCAGCGCTGAGGATCGACGCTGTTGCACTTGGGTGTATATGGGCTTCAGTGCCTCGAGCTCATCCACGAGCTGATTGAGTAACTGCTGCTGCTTCTGCATGCTGGAGAGATCGGATACACGCACCTTTTCCTTTGAAACGCGCTGCACAAACTCCTGCAACTGTTGCAGTTGCTCTTTGATTATGTCTCCACCCCGTTGTTGAATTAACGCTAAAAGGGCCTGCTTCATATCATGCCAGCTATCGTAGAAGATGTTAAAGTCCTGTTTCCATTCCATCAGATCTGCGCTCAAAGCTGCCGTTGTCTGTTGTGCTTCAGCTATTTCACTGGACAGCGATTCCATATGACTAAGACGTTGCTCCAGCTCCTGCACGCTAGCCGTGCCTGCATGTTGTTTATACCAATCTCTCGAGTCGGCCAGCACCAACTTGAAACCAGTTAGACTGTTATAGTAACGCTCCTTGGCCAGGAGTTCGTTGCTATCTTTCTGTTGGCTGGTCAATCGCTTAGCCAGTAGAGCGTATCGCTCATCCAGCTGCTTTATGTGTGTGGCTTCCATGATTAAATTGCGTGTGGGCGCCTCCTGCTCACACACTTCGTAGAGCTTCTTCAGCTCGGGCATTGCAGTTGCTCGCTGGCTTGACTCTGTAAGTAAGTCCCGTATAATTTCACATTGATTTCGCAGACTCTGGCGTTGCAGCTGCTGCAGTTTTTCCTCCACTTCCTGCACGTAGGAAAAATGATCCATAATTTGCGTTTCCAGCTCATGGAAGTTGTCGGCATTGCGCAGCTTACGCTTTTTGCTTGCCAGCGGCTGAGCATCTTCCTTTCCTTCCTGCTCCTCTTCCCCTTCCTCGTCCTCCTCGCCGAAACGTATAATCATTTGATAGTCTAACCAGCCGTCGGGTCGCACTACCCGACTGTCATCGTAGGACGCTCGGTCACGGCCAAAGTTAAAGCCTTTGGTTTCAATGCGCAGTGTTTGAACCTCGACGATTTGCTTTAGGGCATCCAGACGATCCTCATAGCTCTCTAGCTGCATGAGCACGCGTTCACCCTTATCGTCCCCATCCTGCAATGTGGCTGCCACCATTTGACGCAAGTCGACAAGATAACGCTGCAACTCCAGTAAATCCTTGGCACAATAGTTCAGGTCGTTGATGCGCTGTGTAATGCCACCAACATCGGTCACATCTCTGCTCTCCATGTGCTTCAGATCCTGTTCGCGAGCGTCCAGCCAGCGAGAGATGCATTTATATTGCTGTAATTTCTCGGTGCGCAAGTCACTCCACTTTACAACATGCGACCAGCGCTCTCCCAATGCGCTTAACTTGTCCTCCAGATCATTGAAATTGCCCGACGTATCATTCACAATGACGACCATGTTACTCAAGCTATCCACCAGATCCTGTTGCTCGCTGAGATCTGCTTTCAGCTGCCTGGCCTCGGCCAATTGTTTCTCTGCCTCAGCCAGTGTCGGTCCTATGTCTGTCATGTGTGAAATGCGATCCTCAACATTGGTAAGAAACTGCCGCAGCTTCTCTAGCTTCTGTTTTTGAAACTCAGCCAGTCGCATCAGTATCTTTGCCTGCACGTCCAGAGCACGCAATCGCAAAGTTTCCCAACGTTCGTTGAGCAGCACCATTTGCTGTCGCACCTCGTTCTGATCGTCCTGCGAGAGGCCCGCACCCAATTTCTGTGATTCGTTGATTAAATTGCTGCCTTCTTCTAGCGCCTCGCCCACATACTCCTGATGTTCTGTTAGCTTAAGCATGAAATGCTCATTCTCGTGAAATTGCACCTTGGCGCTTTGAAAGTCCTGAGGCTCCGGCATATCCTGAGATAGCAGCTGCTCATCCTGTAGCAGGAGTGTAAGCACAGCCTCCAGTGCATCCTGATAACTACTTATCTCCAAACTAGCATTTGTGGCCGTGCTCAGCGGTCGCAGCGAACTGTCGCCGGCTCCAACCTGAGGCAAGCTCGGCTTTACATTCAAACTGCCACCGCTATCTGATGTATACAGCTCCTGGTTGCAGGGCGTATATTCTAAGGGCACCTCATCCAAATCTGTGATGCTTGTGCAGGGTGCACTCTCCGCTTGAGCTCGCATCGATTCCATTGCATGGTACAAGCACATCACATACATTTGTATGGACTTGTTATCTGGCTTATGTGTGTGCACATCTTCAGGATCCAGTAGCTTTTCGATCTTGTAATGCCGATGCGCTAAATCAAAAGCTAAATGCAATCGCTGTAGGGCATGCTGCGACAGCTCTTTCTCCAAATCCAATTCCTCCAGATGCGCATCCAGTATCATAAGGAAGGCACGTCCGTCTGCCCACGAGCTGGAGAAATCGTTGAGGGCCAAGCCGTGTGGTTCTGTGTATTGACGCGCCCATGCCAGCAAGGATTTCTCAACGCCATTGCTCGAATGACTTCTGACTAGATGCTGGCCATTGAACTCCAGTGCTATAAGCCAGATGAGACCCAGCGTAAGCTTGGGATTTCCACCGACAATATCATCACTGGAGATGTTGACCAATTTAACGCCATGCTGTTGTATCACCTGAAGCACCTTATTCAGATTGTTAATGTGATGCACACGCATGCGACCTTTTTCGGGTTTCTGTAGAGAAAAGACAAAATCAGTTAAAAGGAAACATTCTTATTTTGTAACGTGGTCGAAGCAACCCAATATCTTATTCCGTTTGGTGTCCCTAGCTACAGTAGTACTTTTTCTAAATTTAATTCAAATATACAGCTATATATCACATTTGTCGCAAACTTAACACTGTCTCGAGACTTCCAGAGCAGCTTTTAAAGCTCCTCCTAAAACTTGATATGCTACTCACCAGCTGTGTTTGCGTTAAAGTGCTCAGCAATGCCAACAAACGATGTCCATCCCGCAGATCCAAAAATAAATCATCCACTGGCGTGCACTGGGTTTTGATCAGATGTGAGTTAATCCATTTCGTAAAAGTTTTCTTCTGTATATGTTCTCGTTCATCTGCAATTAAAGAGAGAGGGGTAATCGATTAGCTGTGTATTTCAATTGATTGTTTACTTATTTCAGAGAGCACCTCTGGCGACATCCGCAGACTTAAGACTAATATTGTAGGCCTCCATTTCAAGTCAAAACGAGGTGCAGATAATTCAACATGCGTTGTGGTAAGCCCGTCAATTCAAACTGCGCCCAACCCAAAGATCCCAACTCTAATGAACTGCGCCAAAAACGTGCAAAATGGCTCAAAATCAATTAGCAGGCAAGTCTCAGCGGTTGCAATTGCATTCTCTGGCCTAGGCCCGACTCTGGTCGCTCTCATGTACAAGTATAGTATGTCTACGTCATTTGTCAGTTTTGTGTGAAACCGCATCGCAATCATAACTACAACGATGACGGTGATGATGGTGCAGTGCTTATGACTTGGAGCTCAGTCGCTTGATGGCTCGGTCAGAGTGTTGATTGATGGCGGTTTTTCTGACGCCTCCGTCTCGACGCTCCACTCGAGCCAACTACTATTAGTTTTTAGTTTACTGCATTTGAGACACCGAGACAATTAAACAAAGTGGCATGCGTGTAATTATTGATAGTTTTCGGGTGAGTGATTACCATAAAGCCATACAGGATCGGCTTTCCCAGTGTTGTTTGCATATAAACCAGCAAATGGCAGGTGTACTAGATGATAATTTGATCAATCACTGCAAATTACTTCAAGAGCGGATAATCGTCGCAATTTGGTAAGTGTGTGTTGTGTTGCGTGAATTGCAAAAATTTCATAGTGGAGTTGATTATCCGTTAAATGATATACAAGTTTTATAACAAGTAGTAGTAGTGTGTTGGCGATTTAAAAATTGTTGGCTTTTTTCCGCACAAAAACATCTATTTATGGCATGGCAGCCGATTGTGGTCAGAGTTGTTATTTAATTAAAAATAAGAGAAAAAATGTATATCCAGTTTGTTTATATCAAGTCCTAGAAGTTTAAGTTCGCATTTTATGAAAAGTTATTATTAAAATTAAATCACACACATAGATAATGTCTGTCGAATTTTGTAAAGCTTGTTTAAGTTTCCTATTCAAGCTCATTTCAAATGATTTACTTGCATGTCAAATTTTGTACCTACAGTATTCGCGCAAGTGCTCATTAAAAATCCACAAACAAGGCAAACATTTTGAGCTTAATCGAGAAGCACTTAGAGCACTTTAACATCCTGCAAGGCCGGCCCAAGGTCGTGCACGCGATTGAATATGAAATGCTTAAACTCTTAGATAAAAATATGGGTTGAGGGGCGTTGCCGCCAAGAGCGCAGGCAGCACTGGGCACGTCACACGTATCAAGCGCCTTTAATTGTCATATAAATGAAGGCAAATGCTTCGGCACGAAGCTGCCTAATTGCTAGGCAGGCCAACACAAACACAAACATGCACACACACACACACACACACATACATTTAGCACACACACTCATTATTGATTGACTGCCGCACTAATTTGCAACGTTTCGCACACAAACAAAACGGGTTGGAAGTCACGCCAAACTGTTGCACTGGTACAGGGGCCTATATATTCGGGACCACCAACGCCGTCATCGCACATTTGACCCATAAATGATACGAGCTGTAAGGGAAACACCAGTGAAGCGAACCTGGCCATCGGCAGCGCTAGCTAATGGCCTTTGACGTTGCACGTACAACTGTCGTCAGTCAGTCCAGTCCGGTCTGTCAGTGAGTCCCTCGTCATACAGTGGGAAGCATAAACACTTAACTAATTGAAAACTATATAAATATTTAAAGATATTGAAACCATTTAACTCGTTATGTGAAAAGGGGTGTTATATAAGCGTCTTCTTTTTATAAATAGACAGTGTACTCATATATTCTCATTTTGTCCATCTATTCAATTTACTATGTTCATCTCTTTCTTTAATCCAAAATCTATAAGTTTACAAAAATCCAAAAATACTTTTGAAGAATTACCTAAAACAATGCACACTGGCCGGATTAGCAAAAGATGGGGCATAAAATAAAATGGGGTTCGCAGTGACTTCCAATTTGATTGTAATAATATGAATAAAAATTGGAAAAAATTGTATGTTGATCGGACCACGCCCACTCTTATCTCCCATATTAACCATATTTAATTACTTTGTATTTGATACTAATGTATATATATTTTTTATAATCTATAAAATTTACATTTTTTAGTATTTATTTTGAAAAATTTGGAAAGACTGTATTGAAATTTGCAGTATTTGTAGCAGCTTTTTGGTTTTAGTTTCGATAAATTGAAAATATTGTAGTGATTACTTCAATCGGTTCGTGTTATATAATATTTCAATTATTTACAACTCTCTCTTATTACATTTTCTATTCAAATGTTATTGGGCACATAAATGAATATATATAAATTATGGTAACTAATTACTTTATTTTTTAATTAATTTATTTAAAGATAACATAAAGTTTTTAAAACAATTTTTTAATTTTTTCAATATAAAAGTGTTGAATTTTTGCCATTTTTTTAAAAGATGGGGCCAGAAAACTTTGTTTTTGCCTGCCAAAGCTGAGATTTAAATAATATTAATGCACTAACTGTCCCTTTTCAATGTGGGGGTAATACTGGGTCCAGCTAGTAAAAAAAATGATTCATATGAATATTTTCATTATTTATAGCTACCATTACTTTCTCAAGTCGTTTTTTAAGTGTTAGTATACTGTCTCTGGAGTTCAAATTGAACGCATATAAAAGTTTTGTATTAACTAAGCAGTTTCATATTTAGGTTTTTTTAGTTTTATAAAACATTTTCAGGTTATCAGTTCTGATAAACAGAATGTGTCTACAAGCCAACTAAAATTGACTTCCTCCTTAGTTCTCTTGCTTCTTACTCCACTGTGCTGTGTCTTGTGGCCATGTAGCCTCACTGAGTCCCAATGTGAATGTGGCAGGCAGGCAGGCAGTCGGGCGTTGCAGCTCCATCATTGGGAGCAGCGAGCAAGGCTTGTTCGAGTAGGTACGAGTACGAGCTGCCATTATGATTTTCAAGCGCTTTTGGATAATGTCATTGAGCAGCAATTTCCACATTTCGCATGCACGTAAACGCAAGAAGCATACCAATTAATTAGAAGCCCTCTTTATATCTCTGCCATCGCCCTCCTCTGTCCTAGTTGGCCACTCAAGTAAGGTTTTGGGCTGGCCACGTTCTACTTTGTCTGTAAGTAAGTGGCTGTGTATGAGTGTATGTGCGTGTGTGTGTGTGTGAGGCCCCTTAGGCGTCGACCTGTGGGTGCTTGAGTTCACATTTTGGACGCATTCTCGTTTGGCACTCGTTGTGCTAATTAAATGAAATTTCATTACTTGCATTAATTGAGCTCGAGTCTTTGCATAAATTAACTATGAACTTTTGCATTGACGGTGTGGGGGACGCACAGTATCCATGGTCTGCAAAATGGTCGAGCAATTAAGTAAAATTTGTTGTAGAAATTTGCTGGCATCGTACGTAGAGAAAATGTCCCGTCATCAAACAATGACGATCATGACGACAAATGCAACTCATCGAAGGCAGTGGCCGTCGCTTCCACAACACCAACAACTTTAGCTTCAGCTTCAGTGTCAATTACTGCAATTTTTTGCAGCAATCTTCTCCACTCCTCTCCTCCCCCTCCACACCCCTTATAATTTGTGTGCTCGTTTTTGTTTACCCGGAAATATTTTTGTGTGTCGGTTATTTGGCCCGATCCAATGTCTGCTATTAGCAGCATCTTTAACTGCAGCTCCAACATCGTCTTCTTCATCTATTGCTGCTGTTTGTTTTCCAAGTTGCTTGCAAATTGCTTTCTGCTGCTGTTGGCATCATTTTTCTAGGAAAACTCCTTCAATGTTAGTTCAGTTGAAGTTGGTCAATGCTTTTGTTGTTGTTGTTATTTTTTGTTATTGTTGTTCTTGTTGCATGTGCAATGTTTTGTTGACAGCTCGATTCGTTTTATTATTTTACAATTGTTAGTGAAAATAGCAAATTGCTTGAATAAACTTGTATTTCGTAATAGCAATTTATTGAATTCAACGCATTTCAGTTTTTAAACGATAATGCTTATAAATGTTTACTATATGTGTGCTATGGAAAGTCTTTGGTAGGACTTTTATAAACCTTCCGCGGCATATTTATTGTAAATTGTGGTGTAATTGATATTACACTTAGATTAACAATTTGAATTATTATTTATATTATTCATTGGCTGAATGGCAAAGGACACCCTTCACCCTTTAATAGTATTAAACATTTTAAAATGTAAAAACATAAAAATCAATTTTAATCACAATGAACATCAATTGCCAAATACGACGACAGTTAAATAAATACTATATCCATGCAAATACTTGTGTCAAGAATGCGGCAACAACAATTAAAAAAATCATCACATTTTAAATCCCGTTTCAGACGAGCGGCATTCGATACTTTTCTTTACGACTTACAAAAAGTTATAATGCGACATTCAAAACGATTTTGAATACCAAACACACAAAGCCATAAAATATCAATTTATTGTTTTATAATTGAAGGCAATAAAATTGTACAAAAAACAGCTGACGCTGCGTGGGTGTTGCAGGGCATCTGCGGGAGTGGGAGGGGCAGGGGCAAGGCACAGACTAGGGGGCCGTGACGACAAACCAATAAATAAAATGTGTGTGTCTGTATGGCGACAAAAGAAGAAAAAAACGACATATTCGCACAAATATTGGGCGTAATGACATCAGGCTGTCAATTTCGCAGTCTGTCAGTAAGTCAGTCAGTCAGTCGGTAAGTCTGTCAAAATTTCAATTGTATCGAATGGAAGTCAACTTTAATTATACAGAGACCGGCAAATTTGTAGTGTCTCTGTAGTGCATTGTTGTTGTTGTTGCGGTTGGTGGAGCGTGTTTGCTTTTCAATTTACAATAAATTTAAACTTGTTGAAATTTAAATTTAACAGCACAAGCAGGCAAAAAAATACACTAAACTAAAACACAATC